GTATCGGGCCAGTTTTCTTCAAATGATCACTGAACTACCCTGAATAGTAGATTCACTCCGGCGTAGGCAATGACTGGTTAGAACTCCTGTCTAGGAACCCAATACCTATATTCGCTGTGTTTTGTTTGTTTGTTGTTTAACGCCGCACTCAGCAATGTTCCAGCAAAACGGCGGCGGTCTGTAAATAATCGAGTCTGGTCCAGACAGTCCAGTGATTGACATCATGAGCATCGATCCACGCGATTGGGATACGATGACATGCATCAACCAAGTCAGCGAGCCTGACCACCTGATCCCGTTAGTCGCTTCTTGTTTTATGATATCCATCACTGGATTGTTTGGTCCACAATCGATTATTTACCGACCGCCGTCATATAGCTGGAATATATAAACGTAGGCCATAAGTGAAGTGAAGACCATTACTAATGTCCTGCATTCATTACTCTTCAACCTTTTTTTTTGAAGGACCACAACGACAACTACTACATCAACGACAACTACAACATCGACGACAACAACTACAACATCTACGACAACGACTTCGGGTAATACTTCGAATTTGTTTCACCTTCAATCTTACCTTGAAAGGTTTGTTTGTTTGTTTGCTTGTTTGTTGTTTAAGGCCTCATTCAGCTATAAGATGGCGGTCTGTAAATAATCGAGTTTGGACCGGACAATCCAGTGATTGACTTCATGCGCATCGATATACGCAATTGGGTTGCAATGGCATACATCAACCAAGTCAGAGAGCCTGACCACCCGATCCCGTTAGTCGCCTCTTTTGACAAGCAGAGTCGCCTTTTACGGCAAGCATTGGTTGTTGAAGACCTGTTCTACCCCGGGTCTTCACGGGTCTGGTCACTCAGCACCCTATGCTAGTCGTACGATGCGACTTAATAGATCGGGTGTACGTGGTCAGACTCGTTGACCTGGTTGAATGTGTATCATCGAACCCCGATGGCGTGGAACGTTGCACCAAGTATCAGTCAGTGGCTTTTCTGGTCCAGATTCGAGTATTTACAGACCGCTATCATACATATAGCTTGAATATTGCTGAGTGCGCGTTTAGCAACAAACAAATATCTTTCAGATCATGATGTTAGTGCAAGCTCTCATTACCAACTTAACGCTTTAACTGCATCAATGACGTAATAAATTAGAAGCTATAAAATGAGGGTTTGGTTATCAACCATTATATTATAATCAACAAATATCGTCCAACTCCAAATATCATCAAAATATGAATAAACAATTTATCAAGATCAAGATCTCTCGGGCGTTTTTAGAAGCAATATATTTTGTAGTGAAATGCCAAATGCTGTTTGTTTTGTTTGAGTGACGTCGTATCCAAAAACTATGACACCTGTTGATCCTTTCAACCCTAGATTTGCCAAGCATATATTTGTTTGTTTTTTCAGATCGCAAAGATGTTGCAGTATGTTACTGCTGAGTGAGATAAATCGCCATTTCATGTTGTAGGTCCCTTCTGTGTGTCTTCGTGTTTGGGACGTCCTGTTGGCAACGAACGTTACCCCCACTGCACAAGCTGCAGCAAGTATGTCCAGTGTCTTGCGACGGGGATAAAAGTGACGACATGCCCGTCAGGTTTACACCACAACGATGCCAAAGACGACTGTGACACAGTCTCTAACGCCGCTTGCACGTGAGTCACATGGTGCACATAGTGAGTATTATTTTACGCCGCTTTTAGCAGTATTCCAGCAGTATAACGGCGGGGGACACCGGAAATGGGCCTCAAACAATGTAACCATGTGTGGAATTAAACCTGCGTCTTCAGCGTGACGAGCGAACGCTTTAACCACAAGGCTACCCCACCGCCCCCGTGTGTCACAACAAAAGAAATATAGGAGTCGGTGTTATAACTTATACCAGGTGGTTTTATGGTTGGAAGGTTGTTGTTTTACGCCGCACTCAGCAATATTCCAGCTATATGACGGCGGTCTGTAAATAATCGAGTATGGACCAGACAATCCTGTGATTGATATCATGAGCATCGATCCACGCAATTAGGATACGATGACATGCATCAACCAAGTCAGCGAGCCTGACCACCCGATCCCGTCAGTCGCCTCTCACGACAAGCTTAGTCGCCTTTGACGGCAAGCATGGGTTGCTGAAGACGTAATCTACCCCGGATCTTCACGGGTCCACACAATTGAGATACGATGACATGCATCAACCAAGTCAGCGAGTCTGACCACCCGATCCCGTTAGTCGCCTCTTACGACAAGCTTAGTCGCCTTTTACGGCAAGCATGGGTTGCTGAAGACCTATTCTACCCCGGATCTTCACGGATCAGGTGGCTTTATGGATGGGGGGTCAGCTTGTAAATGTTCGAATGACAAAGCTAATATTAATATGGTCTGTAATCAAACAAGCCGGTTACAGAGCCTTATCGTCCGATCCATTTAGCCGCCGAGCCGCCTCCGTGGTCTAGTGGTAGAGCGTCCGCCCGGAGAGCGGAAGGTCCGGGGTTCGATCCCCGGCCGCGTCTACTGGTCAAAAGACGTCAAAAGATGGTACTTGTTGTTACCCTGTCTGGCGCTCGGCATTAAGGGGCAAAAACAAGGACTGGTCGGCTCGGAGTCAGTATACTGTGTCTGAGTGGGGTATTCATGTTAAACTGCGGCATGGTATCTCAGTGAGCTTGCACTATAAATCGACATCAGTCCGGACTAGTAGAAGCAGGCACAAACACACGTGCAAAATTCAATAATCTTGGACGCGACGTGAAACCCAATTTCACCTCACCTCATTTTGTCGATAACCATAAATCTCACCTGGGCCCACTTGCACAAAGCGATCTTAGCGCTAAGACTATCATAAGCCTTTGTTAAAGTATGGGAGTTACGATCATCTTAGCACTAAGATCGCTTTGTGCAAGTGGGCGCAGCAATCACCACAAAGGATCAGTATTTCTAAAAGCGAATAGAATGGTCTTCTAGCGTAAGATCTCTCTCTCAACTCAACTTAATCCTCGTGGATATTCCAGCTTAGATCAGGGCCCACTTGCACAAAGCGATCTTAGCGCTAAGATGATCTTAACTCCCATACTTTAACATAGGCTTAGCGCTAAGATCGTTTTGTGCAAGTGGGCCCTGGTCCACAGCAACCTGTGTCTGTCTCACGAAACGAATCCACAAATATCCTCCGGGTATACACAGACGAGGTTCTAAAATGTTCATGGACAAACCTCATCGGAGTGTGAGCCTTCATTGAGTGAGGGGGAACTGTATGAAAGTCGGCGCTTGCGAGCTCAAGGAATTGTGGATGAAAACCAGGGATAAAATAATGTTAAAACAAATTCGAAAACATTTTCCTCCTTTGCAACAAAGGTCAACAAGGAGTCAAAACATGACATTGTACTGTTTGATTGTTGTTTAATGCCGCACTCAGCAATATTCCAGCTATATGACGGTTGTCTGTAAATATTCGAGTCTGGACCCGACAATCCAGTGAGTGATATCATGATCATCGATCTACGCAAATGGGATACGATGACATGCATCAATCAAGTCAGCGAGTCTAACCACACGATCCCGTTAGTCGTCTCTTACGGCAAGCACAGTCGCCTCTTATGACAGAAACTATACTGACTTCAAAGGACAAACAGATTTGGTAAATACAGGAAATACATGAATAATTTTAGCTATGAAGTTATCGCTCATAAACTATTCAAAAGAGGTAACAGAACACCCGATTCTTTCATAACACTGTAATTAATATGTTATGACGCGTGAATTACAGCAATATGGGGTGAGGTGAGGTGAGGTGAGGTGAGGTGAGATGAGGTGAAATGGGGTCTAACGTCGCGTCCAACATTATTGCACTTATATAGCGACGTGCATGTACGTGTGTGTGTTTGTGTTGCTGCTTGTACTAGTCCGGACTGATGCCGATTTATAGTGCTAACATGAATACCCCACTCAGACACAGTATACTGACTCCGAGCCGACCAGTCCTTGTTTTAGCCCCTTAATGCCGAGCGCCAGACAGGGTAACAACAAGTACCATCTTTTAACGTCTTTTGGTATGACGCGGTCGGGGATGGAACCCAGGACTTTCCGCTCTCTGGGCGGACGCTCTACCACTTGACCACGGAGGCGGTTACAGCAATATGAAAGAAGCGGGTGTTATAAAGACTATAATTACAAAATCAAGTTTTGTTGCAGAATAACCTCGCCTACAACTGCAGCAACATCAGCGACAACAAAACCAGGTTTGTACTGCTAACACACAAACTCTACCTTAGTTATATACCTGTCTGGCGCGTGTTACCGGTAGGGCTGGATATGCTTTTCCTTTTCGCGAACACCTGGTGTCATCACTGATTTTCAGGGGTCAATTCATAAAATGTTTACCGCTATTTTGCCTTATACGCCAAATGCAAATTGTTTCGGCTGATAATCGTGACTGTTTGTTTATATATTTCATATTCGCGAACACCTGGTGTCATCACTGATTTTCAGGGATCAATTCATAAAATGTTTACCGCTAGTTTGCCTTATACGCCAAATGGAATCTGTTTCGGCTGATAATCGTGACTGTTTGTTTATATATTTAGCAAATACTCACTGATATTTGCTACTTGTGAATTGACGAAATATGCAGAAATAACTTTTGGGTGTAATGAAAGACTTAAAACGTTATCGCTGTGCAGAGTTGCGTCCCTCGGACACGCCAGAAACCTATGATTGTGGGTTCGAATCCCGGTTCGCCCCGATTATGTTTCTAGGTTTGTCAGCACCATACCCGTGCTCGTGGCTTTTACCGAAGTGGTAAACGTCTGGGACCTGCATCACTTCGGGCTTTCCTCCCACATTAAGCTGACACGCCGTGATATAACTGGAATACTGTTAAAAGAGGCGTTAAACTCACTCACTCACTCACTCATTTAACACGTTATGCTTAAGTGTAGGTACTCGCATACGTTTTTTACATCACTGTCATATTTAGTCCAAGCGAAGCATGCTCCCTTATACAAAGTGTCTTCTTAGCCACGTGTAAACCATCGGTTAAAAAAACATGAGGATATCATGTTCACATTTTACTCCAACAGCACTAGCGACTTCATCGACATTTTGTTTAAAATCCTGTGTCGGTATGATGGTCAGCAACGAGCGCTACCCCTACTGCAGCGACTGCACCAAATACATTCAATGTCTGTCCACTGGACAAAAGGTTACAACGTGTCCAGCCGGGCTCCACCACAACGACATCATCGACGACTGTGATCAACCAAGCACAGCCAATTGCCAGTAAGTGATTGGTTGCCCCCTATAAATGAACAAACGAAAAAAAAATATCACCCTTACTCCTGTTTCAAATCCAATTAGTTGTTTAATGTTTAAAGACTTCTTTGTGTTCTCCGTCCTTATATGGTTGCAATAGCACTGCACTGTGTGCGTATATTGTTTAATGCCGCACTGCGCACAATCCCATTAGTATGATCACGGTATGTAAATATGAAGTCTGGACCAGACAATCCAGTGATGATATTCTGTTCATATAGTCACAGAGTCTAACCACATGGGTGCCGTTGTACAAAACAACCTTAGCACTTCGCCGGTCGTACGTCTATGCTAAGGTATTGAAGTTACTATCACCTTAGCACTAAGACCGCTTTGTTCAACAGCCCCCTGATGCATTAAGTCGCCACTCAGACCAGCAAAGGCTACTAAGGACCAATTTAAACCGGACTCCCCAAACGTGCCCAATATGGTTTTTTATGGAGTATGGTTTTACGCCGCTTTTAGCAATATTCCAGCAATATCACGGCGGGGGACACCAGAAATGGGCTTCACACATTGTACCATGTCGGGAATCGAACCCGGGTCTTCGGCGTGACGAGCGAACGCTTTAACCACTAGGCTACCCGACCGCCCCCTTGCCACAAGCAATGGTGTGCTGGAGAAACAATCTATTCAGGTTCTGTACGGGCCAATAATATTACTAAGTCAGGTGCACTTCAGGCTTATAGTGTAACATGCACTCTGACATTGTTAGAGTATTGGAGTGAGTTTGTTTGTTTTTTGTTTTTAACGCCGCACTCAGCAATATTCTAGCTGTATGACGGCCATAAATAATTGCGTCTGGACCAGACAATCCAGTAATTGACATCATGAGCATCGATCCACGCAATTGGGATACGATAACATGCATCAATCAAGTCGGTAAGTCTGACCACCCGATCCCATTAGTTGCCTCTTACGGCATGCATGGTTGCTGAAGACCTATTCTCCACCCAGATCTTCACGGGTCTATTGGAGTGAGGCAACAACGGCACACAAATACTGACATTCAATGCGCCCGTCACCTTCAATCAAAGAATCTACTTTAATCTCCCCTTACTTCAAGGTCGGACTCAGCAGGCACTTCCGGTACTTCCGGCGCAACCGGAAACTGCGTGGCCACCTGTAGCAACATTGCCGACGGCAACTACCAGGACTGCACCGACTGCTACAAGTACGTTGCCTGCTCTGGAGGGCTCATGTACGTGATGGACTGTGCTGCCACTCTTGTGTGGGACGACTCCATGAAAAGGTGTGAAGGGACGTCCTCTACCTGCACCGCCATTGGTTAATCATTACCATTTCAGATCGTGCATGTAGTGCTACATCTGTGAGAAACTGCTTTTGTATGTGAAATGTTTGAGTAGATGGTCTACCAAACAAAATAGATTATAGCAGATTGTGGTTATTGTCCATATTTGTATGATGCTACGTCAGGTAGCTTGTATATCTTGTATAATCTGATGAGAAATGCATAGAAGTATTCACGCGTTTGTTAGCCCCGACCATACATGGGATGAGAGTTACCTCCCTTTCTAAATTGTTCAAGCCTTATAGTAATGAGTGAGTGAGTGAGTTTTATTTTACGCCGCTTTTAGCAATATTCCAGCAATATCACAGCGGGGGACACCAGAAATGGGTTTCACACACTGTACCCACCTTATACTAATGCATGCGTACCACTATACGTGACAACACGGTATTGACCGAAGCTGCCATCTGTTATGATCTGGTTTCCTAAAGTAACATGCGTGCCTCAAGTTTGAAAGCTTTAACGTGGATTCCTAGTTTGTACATCGAAATTTCGATTCATATCTCAATGAGTGAGTGAGTGAGTTTGGTTTAACGCCGCTTTTAACAGTATTACAGTTAAATCACGGCGTGTCAGCTTAATGTGGGAGGAAAGCCCGAAGTGATGCAGGTCTCAGACGTTTACCACTTCGGTGAAACCCACGAGCACGGGTATGGTGCTGACAAACCTAGAAACATAATCGGGGCGAATCGGGATACGAACCCACAATCATAGGTTTCTGGCGTCCCCAAGGGACGCAACTCTGCACAGCGAATCGCGGCGCCTTAGACGACGTAAGAAGTTTTCAAGTTATAAGTCAGACAAAACATTTCCTCTGAAGGATGGCCAGAGAGACATAATTGTTTGGTATAACTATATACCCTTGCCCTTTAAGGTCAGGGGTGTACAATAAACTCCAGGCTGCCATCAGGACCTACAGACTTCAGAAGCTGCAGACCCTGACTAAACTCTTCAGGCCCTCATTTAAAAAAACTGCAGCACACTGTGACAAATAAATTAAAACATAAATTTACTGCAGGCCACAAGGACTGATACAAATTTTGAAACTACGAGCCCGATCTACCTGCCGCGTTTCTACGGGCAGGAGTCTATTTTGAACCCTGGTGTGCAAGCATTAGACCAACTTCTCCCAGGATTCCCTGTAAGCATCTGGGCTACATGACATTGACCTTGACCTCTGGGGCCCATTCTACGAAGCAATCTTTACACTACGGAAGTTGGAAATCTCTCATGAGGCCTTTGCGTTATGATATACATGACACGAGCATCTGCTCGTGAGATTGCCACAGAGGTCAAGGTCAAAGTATCACGTGACATTAGCAGACTCAGTGTTAACCTAGCAGTGTGCAAGGAATGCTGGGAGAGACTTTGGTGACAAATAAAGGTGAAGGTCACTGGTGTACTTTGGATGAAGCAGCTTGCTGGACTTGGAGCTGCTGCTGCAACATGGCCGCTGCTGCCGCCGTTGGCTGCTGCCCGGACATCGGGGGGGGGGGGGGGGGGGGGGGGGGCCTTATTGCGCAGCCCACCCTGCAAGGCAAGCACACTCTACTGACTACACAGACAGACAGACAGACAGACAGACCTCAGAGATTACTATCTTCAAGACACACCAACTTATTCCCACGTAATACCAATGATCTTGCACAAAATGACCAAACGTAAATCAAAAAAAATATTTACTATATAAATTTGCTGAATTTTTTTTATCTTTTATTATAGATTGCATTTAATCACATAAGATTATGAAAGAAATAAAAACCAAATTAACCCAAAAATATGATAAATAGGAAGCATTCTACCTACTGAGTGTTCCCTGGTGGTGGTGTGATAGACACATACCTATACTGCTGCTGTATGGGTGAGACTACCTGACTGGTGTGGTGGCGTCAGTGCTGGGCAAACGAGTGAGTGTTAGTGAGTGAGTGAGTGAAATTTAACGTCACATCGGCAATATTTCAGCCATATCGTGACGAAACAGTTATAATATTTATATTTTCATTTAATTAAAAAGCTGTCAACGATGGACAGTAAGATAATTAGAGTATCACAGTTTCGATGTTAAAACTAGTTGAGAATAGTTAAAAGAATAAATTTTCATTCAACAATACAATATAAAAATGGGCTAGAGATCACCAGCAACCAAAGTTAGGCCACCTCACTAGGGACCGTGGGGACTTACATTACTTCTGCTACCTGCACGGCTCCCCAGCAGGATTTATACCAACCCTTCAGCTGCTGGTGATGGGAAGCAATTAAGCCAACACTTAAAATAAACAAATATTCTACGTTTAAAACCGATGTAAGAATAAATGTACTTTGAATGATGTGGTCTTACATATCCTCTCTGGGGGACAATACTTTTACGCTACTTCAACCCCCTTAGAGGATAGAGCCACTAACAATCTAAGTTACAAATTATACATTACCAATATAAAATATAGCTATTTACACAATTCAAAATTTATCAATAAGTTCAATTTCTTTTAAAAAGCCAATAATTAAATGAGAATTGATTCTATTAAAAAGATCCGTCATTGATGATGATTTGAAATATTTATCCCTTGTGATGGAAACATCAACACAGTCAAGCAGGACATGCTTGACGGTGATTCTTTCATCACAAGGGATACAAAATGGAGGATCCTCACCTTTCAACAAATAATCGTTTGTATACCTGCTATGGCCAATACGACATCGTCGTATTATGACCTCCTCAAATCTGGACTGACAGCCCAAGTAGGTGTAGCCGATAGTTGGTTTAAGTTCATGTAATTTATTTATACCTACTTAAGTGTCCCACTTCTTTTGCATTAGATCAGCGATGTAAGATCTAATTAAGGGTTTATAATCAGTGTATGGTAGAAGAAGTGGTGTCACAGATTTGGTGAGTGCTGCTTTTGCAGCAGCATCGGCCATTGTATTACCAATGATACCAACATGGCTTGGTAACCAACAAAAGACGATGTCGTACTGGCCAGTAGCAAGATCATTTTGCAGTTCAATGATTTCACGTAAAAGTGGATGATGACAAGATATATTATTTAATGCCTGAAGACAGGAAAGTGAATCAGAGAAGATAATGAACCGTTTATGTTTAGATTGGGTATTTATATATTTAAGAGCAGTTAATATTGCCTGCGATTCTGCTGTAAAAATTGAACTGTCATTCGGTAATCTAGATGATATGGTTCTGGATCCAATGACAGTGGCGCTGGCAACAGCGGCACCATCCTTGGATCCATCTGTAAATATGGATTTGTAAGTATTATATGTGTTCCTTAATTCATTATATTGTTGTTGATAAATTAGTTGATTTGTGTCAGATTTCTTCAGTTTAGTTAAAGTTAGATCCACCTCTGGATGTACTAACTGCCATGGTGGAGAAGAGAAAAGCTGAGTGGGGGCTATATTACCAAGGTTTATTTTAGCAGCAGAAATATCTGCTTGTAGTCGTATTCCTAGTGGTGGAATAAGAGAAGATTTAGTTTTGAATAGATTACCGTAAAGGGGATTAAAAACACAGTCATATGCTGGATTGGAGTTATTGGAACGTAATTTAGAGATATATTGTAGAGCTAATTTAATGCGACGGTGTTTTAGGGAAGGCTCGTTAGCTTCCACATACAAACTATGAACAGGCGAAGTTCTGAAGGCTCCAAGGCAAAGCCTCAGGCCCTGATGATGAATGGTATCAAGTAATTTTAAATTGCTCTTACAAGCCCCACCATATATGATGGAGCCATAATCAAGTTTAGAGTGGATAAGTGTTCGATATAGTTGGAGGAGGTTTTTTTTATCCCCTCCCCACTTAGAATTTGAAACAACTTTTAATAAATCTAGGGCCTTCAAACATTTATTCTTTAAGTATTTAATGTGGGGCAAAAAGGTCAAATGATGATCGAAAATTAGACCTAAGAATTTGGCTTCCTTTACAACTTTAATGGCAGTGTTATCTAAAATTAATTCTGGATCTTTATGGGGTTTATATTTTCTACAAAAATGTATGCAGTTGGTTTTAGATTTTGAAAATTTAAAACCATTTTCGAGACACCATTTCTGGATTTTATTTAAACATAGCTGTAGTTGCCTTTCAATAGTATGCATGTTTTTGCCACGACAAGAAATATTAAAATCATCCACGAAGAGCGATCCATCAATCGAATCATTTAAAACTTTAGACAAACTATTTATCTTTATACTAAACAATGTTACAGACAAGATGCTTCCTTGTGGGACACCCTGATCCTGATTATAATGATCAGACAGGGTAGAACCCACGCGGACCTGAAATTGCCTGTCAGTTAAAAAATCGGATATAAATTGAGGCAAACGGCCTCGTAATCCAAAATCATGTAAATCTTTCAAAATACCATGTTTCCATGCAGTGTCATATGCTTTCTCGAGATCGAAAAAGATAGACACTGCATGTTGTTGATTTATTATGGCATTTTTAACAAATGATTCTAAGCGAACCAAATGGTCGATGGTACTTCTGTTTTTCCGGAAACCACATTGTATATTAGTAATAAGATGATTGGATTCCAGGTACCAAACTAGTCGATTGTTTATCATGCGTTCCATGGTTTTGCAAACGCAGCTTGTTAATGATATTGGTCGGTAATTTGATGGGTCAGTATGATCTCGACCGGGTTTTGGTATCGGGACAACTATGGCATCACGCCATGAAGGAGGAAATTTCCCTGAGGTCCAAATTTCATAAAAAATATTCAATAGTGTTTGTAAAGATGAGTCAGGTAAGTGCTTCAGTAGTTGATAATGTATGTTATCAACCCCTGTAGCAGTATCATGAGCTTGTCCAAGGGCAGTGTGGAGTTCATGAATAGAGAATAGTTCATTATAATCTTCCCCATTATCGGAATTAAAATTAATAGGTTTCTTCTCTTGCTGTTTTTGATACTTTTGGAATTGAGGTACATAGTTACATGAGGAAGAGTGTTTAGCCAAAGTTTCACCAAGTTTATTAGCAATATCTGATTTATGAGTAAGTAGTTGGTCCCCATTTTTAAGATGGTGAATACTAGTTTTTGTGCCCTTACCTTTGATCCTTTGGATCATGTTCCATACTTTG